TACAGACAAACCTTTTTATCTTTTGGGAAACTTTTTTCGAATCCAAGTTTTTTATTTGGATCGGACTTAATTAATGTATCTAAGAGCAACAAGTATCGAGCGGTAGTAGCAATAATCCATCTACCGTCCGATGTCACATCAATTCCCTTAATTGCACTTCCTAAAGCAGGAAGATTTGTCTTTGCAATCTTGCCTAAAGAATCAAATAATTTGACATCGCCTTTTTCGCTCCCCACTACGATATGACCTTTGGCATCTGTCGCTCCACAACTAAAATCACTCTTAGTCGTATATTGTTTGCGTTGGCTATCTACTAATTTTTGACCAGGTAGTCGTGGGTCAATTCGATAAAGCGAATTGTGCGACATTCCAACTAAGGTCTTCTCAGCTGTCGTTTGAGCAAATTTATTACTTGGAAATATACTTGTAACAGGAACAACGTCATGAACGTTCCATTCTTCAACAATTTTTCCATATTCTAAATCCATCTTGAAAAGATTATGTTCGTCTTGGGGATCCATTAAAACCATTGTAGAGTCTTCTTCATGTAGCATTCCCTAATAAAGACGGATAAAAACAAATTCGTAGAATCAAGCATTATGATTATTTTTTAAAAATAATAAATAAATAAGTAAATAAAACATACCTTTGAAGGGTTAATAAGCCTGCTCCCTCCAAGTCCTTTGATTTCGCCAATGTTAGTCGTTAATTCAATGCGGTCATCATCTGTGTGTTTAAACACACCAATCTTATTTCCCTTTAAGACAAAAGACCTATCATGTTTATAGCCAACAATAAGTTGTGAATTGGCGCTTTCTCCTTCTACACCTTTCGTGTCGATATTGTCATCTGATGCATCATCGTCATCTTCTGACATTTCATTTTCTATAGGGATTAATTAATTAATTATATTGACAATAAAGAAAGAATTATTCGATAAAGAGTTCAGATTCTTATGATCGTACCTTCTTCTGTATCTTCTTTATCGGTCGATTCAGCATCAGTCATTTCGACATCTTCTTGATAAGCATTCATAAAATATTCTTGTTCTTCTTCCTATGTTAAGAAAAAAAAAAATCACTATATCATGTTAGATAGATTTAGAAGGCAAAAAAAATAATATCAGTTATTATAATTAAGCCGAACCTTTGCCCTAGATTCATTTAAAGTTTCATACATGGCTTGGGCAAATTTTTTCTTGAAATTTGCTTCACCTTCTAAATCTCTGAAGCGAATCAAAAAGGAAGAAACTCGATCGGGCTCTGAAATCACAAGAATCTTTATTAACAATGACTGTTAGCTGTTAACGTTAAAAAAAAAAAAAAAAACATAGATGAAGCTACCGTCAAAATTACACCATATGAAGCATATATGTGTCTAAAATAAATTGGCATATAATTATTTATGAGTAATAAAATAATATTATTAGGAAAAAATTTTTCTTAATTTAAACTAAGGCCACACAAATTTAATATATTGGTTTTCATAACATGAAACTTTTAAACAGACCCGGCCGGCCGGCTTTTTTTT